ATCTTTCCTTTTTTCGCACTTTTTCATTTTATATATTTATTTTCATTCTTAAAATTTTTAACCTCACATTGAATCGTTTTTAAAAGCTCCAAAAACATTTACAAAAAACTTTGTAAAAAGTAAAACGCCAACGTTCCCCAGAAAGCAATACATTCAAACATCATTTGGCAGCCAAGCTCGGTTGGCAGCGTCATCATTTTTATTAATCCTCTTGTTTTTTTTTACCAAATTTTGAAAAGGTTTTAAACATTTCGATTCTTATGTTTCATTTATTTAGTTCGCCTTTTTTCATATTTGTTTGAATTTATTTTAGGATTTTTTTTCTGCTATTTTGTTTTAGTATGTAGTATCTCAAACATTCTTTTATAGACATTTTTTGTTTTTGCTCGTTTCTTCAACTTTTTTCTGTTTTTTTTTATTTCCCTTCGTTTTTAAAAGTTTTCATTTTTCTGTCAATCGAAAGTTCATTCATTCATTCGGGCAACTATTCATTTTTTCATTCATTCCCTCATCCATTCATCCACTCCGTCATCCAGCAGTCCATCCATCCATCCATCCATCTATCCACCCATCATTCAATGATAAATAGACAGCTTCAATAAATCAGCTATTATACGTGTGTAAATAAGTCCCCGCGAAGTACTTATTTCAATCTCTCATTCTCTTTGTATGTGTGTTTGTATGTCTCTATCTTTCTTTATTTCTTTGTATGTGTGTTTGTATGTTTCCATCTCTTTGTCTTCATTTGTATGTGTGTTTGTATGTTTTCCTTTTTCATACATTTCCTTGAATGTTTTTTTGTATGTTTCAGCGCATTATTATGAATGTATTTTTCAATATTTGTATGTTTAGGCGTGTGCATGTATTTTTGTGTATTTGTGTGTATTGGAATTGTTACATATCTACATACATATATGTGTTTTTGAATGTTTTGTTTTGGTATGCATGCAAGTATGTCTGTATTATGTGTAACTAAGTTTTGATTTATGTATGTTTATTTATTTATCTTGGTGTGCTAGTATGGTATTTACACGTGTACGTGCGTATATGGCTATCGTATGTATGTGTTCTGTATGTCTAGGTATAAGTATATATGTGTATATGTGTTGTATGTTTTGTTTAAGTATATATGTGTTTTGTATGTTAAGGTGTAAGTAATAACTATGCATGCTTTAATGATAGCACTCATGTGTTTGAATGTCTGGATAAATACAAAGTGATATGATGTTGTTGCTTTGAAAGTATATTTTTGCATTTGAGTAGAGGAATGTAAGTGTTAAAATGTTTAAATGAAAAAATTTGTAGGTGTGATTCTGACGCTGAGTGAAGTTCCATTTGTATGTACTTCGTAAGGAAATATTTTTCGTCTTTTTGTATCTGTATTCTGTATTTATAATATAACATAGAGGTGTAACAAGAAAGTTAAAATGTGTGTATGTTTGTGTTATCTTATAAACATCTTTCACTGAATGCATTTTGATATTATGCAAATGTTTATACTAGATACACAAACACGTTTTGGGCGGTGACATTTAACATAAATAGAAGATCGTTTTGTATTTGTGAAACATCACAGAGAAAGAAAGTTGTATGTTTAATGAGAACGATTGTAGTAAAATAAATAAATATACAAACACAACTGTATATAGACAAGACACATACCATATGCTTCTTCAAATTTTGGGTATTTCTGGTATTGCGTTTGCGTATTTAGCATCAGACACAGGTTTACAAACAAATGTCTTTTTTGGTTGCACCGCTTTGTTTAACGGTCCTGAAAATTATTTTTATAAGAGAACACGTTGTCCTAACTGCGTGTGAATGCGTATGTAGGCTTGTATGACTATATATATATATGTGTCTGTGTTTGTACGTGTATGTGTGTGTGTACTTGTGTGTATGTGTTTGTATGGGTATGTGTGTGTGTTTGTATGTGCGTGTGTGTTTGTATGTGTATGTGTGTGTTTGTATGGGTATTTGTGTGTATGTGTGTGTGTGTTTGTACAGAGTATTTACGTTTTTCATATTATTGTTGGTAATTTTATCTCATTAACTTTACAGCATGTATGTCGTTTTTACTGTATATGACTGCAAGAATCGATACACCAGTTTTCTGTTAATAATGTTAAATCTAAAAATGTTGTCAGTGTGGGTACACATACATGTACACACACGTGAAAATCTGTAGAGCTTAGTTATTTTCATAGTAGTAGTAAACCAAATAGTGTTTTTAGCATTAGCAGCAGCATAGTAGTGTTAGTAGTAGTAGTAGTCGTAAGAGCAATATAAAAAGTTATAAAAGTAGTAGAAGTAGCAGTAGCAGTAGTAGTAGTAGTAGTAGGTGTAGTAGTAGTAGTAGTAGTAGGTGTAGTAGTAGTAGTAGTAGTAGTAGTAAGTGTAGTAGTAGTACTACTAGTAGTAGTACTAAGTAATAAATATGGAGCAGTGGAATTGAATATTTCACGGCAACTAGACGTTTATTTGAAGTTCGGTCTCTCATCTCTCTCCTACTCAATTCATCCAGCCAGATTTTTTCAATTTTTATGGTTTCTTCAAGCACGTGTGTGTGTGTGTGTTTGTTTAGGCGCGTGTGTGTGAGTGTGAGTGAGTGTAAGTATGTGAAAAAATGTATTTGCTTGTTTGTTTGTTTGCATGTTTGTGTGTATATGTGCGTCAGCGCGTGCCTGTGTGTGTGCGCGTGTGTGTGTGAAAGTTAAGTACGCTTGTATCTTTTGGTGTATGTGTGTTTGTTCATCTTTCCATTTTCTGTATGTTTTAAACATTTGTCGGTAAGTAAAGATAGTGTTAGTTGGTGTGTGTGTGTGTGTGTGTGTGTGTGTGACTATGTACACGTGAAAGGTCTGTCCGTGAAGGTATTATGTCCGCCATTGTGTTTTATTGCGTTGCATTTGTTCATAAATTTGAATAATCACCTACATGCGCGTGTGTACAATTTTTCCACGAGTGTACGTGATAGAATCTTTCAAACATTTTTTTACAGATGTGTGTGTGTGTGTATGTGTGTTGGCTGTTTGCTGTTGATGGGCATATTGCCAGTTTTGACGTGTTTTTCTGTTAATTTCGTGCACTTTTATGATTGCCACTTCTTTCGCTTGATGTCAGTTGCAGTTGTTATTAATTAACACACATCATGCGAAGGAGGCGAGCTTTGTGGTGAAAATATAAATTTTCTGCCTAGTAGAAAACATGTTTGTAATAAAAATTCACCGCTATTTAGGGCTCATAAATATATGATCTACAATTTGTTTTTAAAACCTAAACAAATAAACAAACAAACGATCGAACGAACGAACGAACGAACGAAAGAACGCACAAAAAAAACAAACAACAAACCAACAGACAAACATACGGATAAACATTCAAACATGCACGACAAATTTGCATGCATATAATACAATACAATACAGACATACAAGCTAGACATACAAAACAAATGCAGACATACATTTATTTTAACATTGACAATTACAATAACATACGAGGAACACTTATATAGACCACTTAAAATATACAAACATGTACATACACACACGCATACATACATGGCTACGCATAAAAACACACACGCATGTATGAATGTGTATAAAGATGCATAGTAAATAAAAAAAAACATATCTATATATTAAACATACTAAACATAAACAAAATAATCAGGAAATACACAAAAGCAAAAAAACCATTTCCAGCATCTACAGCTTGGAATCATTGCAAACAAAATTACGCAAACAAATGTTCAAGTTTCAGAATATACAATAAATAGAAAAAAAAGATAAAAACAAAAAAATACAAAACAACACACAAAAAAATATACATTTAAGCAGGCACACATATACAAAAATGAAATACAAACACACATGAAAAACACATAAAGTAAAGAAAAAAAACGTGTATACAATCTTTTACGCATACACAAAAATACAAGTAGGTATACAAATGGAGAAGGAAGACATGCATGCCAGCACGATTGCTTTTCAACGCTAAAAATTATGTATCTCTGTTCGACAATCTCCATGGTAGCAGGCCACCTAGCTAAGATATAATAGCAGCATAAATATTGCAGCAACCATAAATGAATAAATATATTGAAAAACATTTCCAAACATGATTACATGTTAACGTAATGCCTTTAGATTAATGTGTTTACTATAATATGTATGTATATATGTTTGTGTGTTTGTCCGCATGTGTGCGATTCGGCTTCGTTCGTTTATTCAGCAAATAATTCCATTCATTTATCCACTTAAAACGTAATTCACACATCCAGGAATCCATCAAGATTATTTATTTTCCAGCTCGCCTTCCTATATGTATAAGTTCTATACGTACGTACGCACGTAAACACACACACACGTGCATTGATACATACATACATACATATATACAAAAATAAAATACACACGTACGTGAATGCATGCATATCATAAATACATGCACACATACAAATAGTTTCCAAAAAGTTACTTTATTTCATATTTACCAATCCATCCATCTGAGCATTCATTCAAATACTACTTTTTTTCCTGTTCTTTCTTTAAATAGTAAGCCGGTTTTTTTATTTTCTCATTCACATTCATTCATTTTTGAAAAACTTATTTCCAAAAAAAAAATTTTTTTTGCGTATTTCATACAACATTTGTATACCGAAAAATATTTATTTCTGCTTCAATATTCATTCATGCGTGCTTTCAAAATAAGCTCTTTCAATTCGTTTTTTTTTATATTTTCTCTTCATTCATTCTTTCTCTATCATCGTTCATTCATTCACTAGTTTGTTCGTTCGTTTGTTCATTAAGTGATTATAATCACAATTATTTTTAAATCACATTTCTACTATTAATTTTAGCCATTTTTAAGCATAAAAGTGATATCATTTCATCTGTTTAATCGTCATTTACCCACTCCTTTCATCACTCACTCACTCATTCACTCACTCGCTCACTCACTCACTCACTCACTCATTTACTCACTCGTTCACTCACTCACTCCACTGAAGAACATGGACTTACATCATTGAACGGCCATTCCAACTTGTTTGTTCTGAAATCGACTAGATGTGGCACAAGATGACGATGACGGTGGTGATGGTGATGATCAAAATAAAGATGATGATGATGATAATAATAATAATGATGATAATAATAATGATGATGATGATACAAAAAAAATGATTCATGGGCATGGATAGAAATCAATAACAAAACTGAAGTGCACAATTTTATTATGATGAAGTCCTCGTTTGCACCATATCATAATCATTATCATTATCACCACAATCATTATCACCACCATCATCATTTTCATCATCATCCTCATCATCATTTTAATTATCAGCACACTTTTTGCTAGCACAAAATTAATTATAATTTCAATTTGCCGCTATCATTTTGGCCGCAAAGACCTCCACGATGATGGCTTGTCGTCACCACTCTGCTATATATCTCGACAGACACACGCATGCGTACATGCACTTGAGAAGTTAACATCATCCCTCCGAAGCACTAACTCTTGAGGTACACTAAACAACTGAACCGTCAAACACTCAAAAATTGAAAAAAGAATTTACGATAATATGGATAATAATAAGGATTCTGTGTTGTTAACACTAAACCCGATTTTAAAGGGATGTATACATTCAGATAGGTTCAGAGATACAATGATACAAGGAAACAATTCGATCGGATTGCTTTTTTCATAAATTAGGACTTGATTGCACGCCCCAAAGAAAACACACGTACAACCTCCATGCAGTGTGCGTCTTCAACGGTAAAAAACAAAAAAAGGAAATACAAAAAAAAGATCAAATAAAAAGAAGGAACATCCAAGCAGACGCCTTCGAATTAACACAAAATTATATGCGCACATCAAACAAACAAAAACAGACACACAAACAAAAACAGACAGACAGACAGACAGACGGATAGTCAGTCGGCAACATACATTCGAGCAGGCAGATATAATCTTCAAAATGAGATCTACGCCTTCCCGTAACTATCTATGCCAATTTTTATGTATCTTTACGTTAAGTACGTGCGGGCTCTGGATGTGGTATATCCATTCGAATGTATCTCGAGACGTAAATATATGCATGAATAAAAATACCAAAACAAAAAAAACAAAAAAAATATAAAAAAAACATTTTGTACTATTTATTATTTTTATACCTCTCCAAAAGCGAAAAAGAGCATTGTATATACTTAGGAATTTCAATTCCTATGCCCAGATGTGAGCGATAATTCAGTTTTATTGCCACACCAGACAGGCATGTTTGTGTCTGTGTGTGCGTTCGTTTGTATGTGTGCTGTGTGTGTGTGTGTGCGTTCGTGTGTGGGTGTGTGTGTGTACGTGTATGTGTGTGTACGTGTATATATCTAATTTCATGTTTGTAGGTTAGTTTATAAGCGTTTTTATGTTTACACGTTTGAATAGGTTTTTTTTTGTTTGCTTTATAATTTGTTGCACGTTTTGTGTATGTGTTTTATTCCGCGCGTTAGTTTTGATGTTTATTTGCCACTAAGCATAGATATAGAGAGGAAAGAAACACGTGTGACTGATGTGTCCTTTCATTAAAACATCAAACAATGCATTCATTATGTTGTGTGATTATGAAATGTACTTATTTAGGCAGCCAGTTGTAGCTTTTCAACATCTCTCACTCAGATAAACAACTTAGTAAGGTCGACAGCGAAATAAAAAATATCTTCAAAACTGAAAAAATGTGTTCATAAAAAACCAACTGCTGATCAGAAAAACGGAAAAACAATAAATTGAAAAGAAAAACAAGCCAATAGAAAAAAAAATCTGAAACTCACCCTCATTTTTTTGAAGTTCAGCGAAGGTCGTTGGTTGCTGAAGGAAACAATTTCAATGGCACGGAACCTTTTGTGCACCCTTCCGCCCTGCACGCCCGAGTCACGTGGCTGGCACATCTGGCTTCTGATTGGCGGTGAGCCGGCTCGCACTTGACCTACATAATTATTGTTATTGTTTCTTTCGAGTGATTGATTTTATTGTTGAGGTTGTGTTTATGTTAGTGAGTGTGTGTGTTTGTGTGTGTGTGTGTGTGTTTCGGTGTGTGTGTGTGTGTGTGCACTATACAAGAAAAAATCGCTATAAAATAAAATAAATCAACTGTAATATCAATGGATAACACACACACACACACACACAAACACACACACACATATACATACATTTATGCATAAAAATACCCAAACAAAACAAAGACATCAAAATAGAAACAGAGTTGAAAATAGGCAAACGTAGAAGAGCGAAAACTACTAATACATATGAATGTTTGAACTATGACATCATGTCATGCCACCAGGCTTGCAGATGTTTCTTCAGCAATATAAATGTCATTTCGCATCACCATCATCATCATCCTCACTATTTTTATCATCATCTTCTTCTTCATCATCATCACCATCATCATCATCCTCACCATCTTCACCATCATCATCTTTTTCATCATCATTACCTTCACTATCATCATCATCTTCTTCATCATCACCACCATCTTCCTCACCATCACCATCTTTTTCATCATCATTACCCTCACTATCATCATCATCTTTTTCATCATCATCATCACCCTCACCATCTTCATCATCTTTTTTATCATCATTACCTTCACCATCATCATCATCTCCTTCATTATCATTGCCCTTATCATCGTCCTCTTCGTCAACAAAATAATCAAAACAACATCAACATTATCAACAACATCATCATTATCATCCTCATCAACGACAATGACATCATCATCATCACCACCACCATTATCAACATCATTATCGTCACCACCAACATCATCATCATCATCATCATCATCGCAACCATCAACATCATGAAAAACAAAGTAAGCAAACAGCGGAAAGTAATCATCGTCAGACACAAGTAGACCACTCATCTTCATTCGTCCATTCATCCATTCACTCTTTCATTCATCTATCCACTCCTTCATTCGTTCATTTATTTTTTAAGCATTCATTCATCCATTCTCTCACTCTTTCATCAATTTGCTTGTCCATTCATCCATTTCTTCATTCACTCGCTTGTTCTCGCAATAGATAATTCGATCATTCATCTAATCAGTTGTTTATATACTCGTCTGCTCTTTCATTCATTCGCTCTGTTATTCATTCATTCATTCTTTTACCTAGAGATGACTTTGGCGATTCATCCATTCAATCAATCAATCATACATTTATTTGTTCGTTCATTCATTCCCTCATTAAAAACTCATCAGCTCATTCAATCGTTCATTCTATTACCAAAATTTTGTCAGTTAGTTTATGATTCAGTTGCATCATCTGCTCAGTCATGCATTATATAATTAACTATTAATTAATTAATTGAATAATCAACTGAATCATAAATTGAATAAATAAATTAATTAATTAAACGTCTAACTCAGCGTAGGTTATATTCAATAAACATTATTTTTTTTCTTATGTTCAACTATTTATTCATTAATCTATGCATCATAGCATCATTTAATATGTTTGAGCGTGTGTGTGTGTGTGTTTGTTTGAATGTGTGTATGTATGTATTTGTTTGTTTGTGTGTGTTTGCGCGTTTGTGTGTGTGTGTGTGATATAATAGAGATATAATTAATACCAGTTAGAGATATAATTAATACCAATATAGTTAGTCAGTTGCTCGTTCAAGCGGTTTAACATAATTATTTTCATAGAGTCATCAATTTACTAGTATATATAATATAATTCTTGTCTGCAATTATTTTACTTCTAATAAATTCATTCATTCATGCAGGTATTAACTTGTTTGAATGTTTGTTTTTTTCCATTCATTCATTCATTCATTCAGTCAATCAACTTTAATTTATTTATTTATCCAATAAGTCATACCTTCGCTTTATTATTCAACCAACTTTTTATTAATTTCCTTTTTCTTTCCCTCCTTCACTCATACGTGCATTCATACGTGCATTCATTTATTCATTCGTTCATTCATTCATTCATTCATTCATTCATTCATTCATTCATCCATCCATTCATTTATTTATTCTTTCACTCATTCATTCGTGCCTGCTCTTATTAACCTTCCAACACAATTTGACATAGCACGCTGTTTCTACTATCGTCACCTTCATTTCATCAATTATTTTTCTCCCCGGTGATGATGACGAAGATGATGATGAAGATGATGAAGATGATGATGAAGATGAAGAAGAAGATGATGATGAAGATGATGATGATGAAGAAGAAGATGATGATGATGATGATGAAGATGATGAAGAAGAAGATGATGATGATAAAGATGATGAAGAAGATGATGATGATGATAATGAAGATTATGATGATGACAATACTATTGTTATTAGAAGAATTCACAGCAACGCTAACGATCTGTTAGAACCTCTGATGATGACGATAATTAGCATTACGATGATGATAATGAGGATAATGTTGTTGATGATTATGAATAATATCATTATGATGATGATAATGATGATGATGTAATTGATGATCATTATCATTATGATAATGATGTTTATGATGATGATGACGAAATTAATAGAAGTGA